TATATGTATACATACATATATATATCAACTTTCTTAAGCGGCTCTGTGATCTCTTTCTTTACTCTTATATGTTTGTAAGTTGGCATTTTTTGCTTTAAAAATGATTGAATTATGTTGTTCTAATACTTTCCGGTTAACGATTTTATGCCTTTAATAAATCTGCATGCAATATTTGTAGAGTTATCAATAATTTAAAATTTATCTAAGTGCAGCTAAGCCTAATTATTTTTGCGATGGCGGAACATGTATGTTTACATTTCAAACTTGGCGAAATAGCGGATTTGTTGCCAATCTATAGAAACTAAGCTTCGCAACAACAAAGATAAGGTCTTCTTTTATTATTGCGAATTAAAGCATGTTTAATCTGTTCTGGAATTTATTCGAGGACAGAAGTGTTTCAGATTTACTTCGTAATTTTTAATATAGATAGTTTGAGTTTTTATGTATTTTTGCCTTGTCGCGAAGTGAGAACTGAATTAATTGAGTGAGAAATACTGAATCATCTGTGAAAACTTTTTTTGTTTTGTTTGCTTAATTTCTTTTATACATCGTTTTAGATTTATTACAGTATTTGAATAGAACATGTGGCAAAGATTAGATAATTCTTCAAATGATATAAATTTATATGCATTCTAAGTTATAATATAGACGAAATGTAACGCTTTTAAGTGAACCTAGCGCCAGAGTTTCGCTATGGTAAACAAATATAATGAATTTTAAACAGTGCATTTATTCTATTGTGGTTTATGCTCTATGGACGAAGTAGATTTAATTCTATCCGGTAAGTTTCAATGAAATGCAAGAAAAAATGCATTTAATTTAATATTTCGTGTAAGGAAGTCGTGTAGTGTACACATCAGATATTTTTTGTATGTAATGCATTTTAATTTATTTTAAATCATTATATAATATCTGAGTTGCTAACTAGCAATTTTTTTAAAGCGACTCATTTCTAGCCTTCTTGTAAAGCAAAGAAGCTAAGACAGAAATGAGAAAAGTCATCCTATATAATTAGTGAATTAACAGTATAACTATGAGATATTATTTTTGAATCTTGCTAGCGTCAATGCTAAAAACGTTGCAGTGTCATTAAGTTATTTTAAAGCCGGAGTGAAAAATGAGCAATACCCTCTCTGGGACTCCAACCTGGACCTCTCGAATACGCGCCGAGGGTGCTTCCGTTACACCATGAAGGCATGCAGAAAGGAAGGAGAAAATACCTTATATACTCCCCTTTTTAAAGGGCAACTGGGGATTAGGGGGACCCAATCACCAAATCCTGGTGATGAAAAATAATAATCCACACATTATAGTTAGGGTGCCACTGTAGAGTCATTTAGAATTTTTTCGATTGTCAGGAAACTGAAGAAATGTGCAGTGCCCTTGCCGGGACTCGAACCTGGACCTCTCGAATACATGCCGAATATGCCATCGTTAAACCAGGAATGTATGCAGAAAGGAAAGAGAAAATACTTTATATACTTCCCCTTTTAAGGATGACCTGGGATTAGGGGACCCAATCGCTATATGTTGCTGGTGAAGAATCATGATCCACCACGTTTTAGTTTGTGCGCCACTGTAGAGATATTAGGACTTTTGAGAGTAGGTGACGTAAGAAATGAGCAATGCCATCATCGAGACTTGAACCTAGACCTCCCGAATACGCGCCGCTAAGTATTCCTAAGCTCTTCTACTGAAGTAAGCGAAACCTTCCTTTAAATACTCTTTCTACCTCATTTACATGCAGCGCGATACTAAAATCATATTCTGATAAGGAATGGTATGTGGAAAATGAGAATAGACAGTAAAGCACATGTAAAAATTAAAATAACTGTTAGAAACTGAAAATAACCCTCTAAAATGCCGTATGAATAACTGACCTTAACTGGTAAATGTTTAGTTTTCTTGGTAAATTTTTAGTTTTCTTCACTCTTATGTTCTTATAGTAGAGGAGAGTTTACCGCACCGTTCTACAGTTAAATGTTCCGAACTCAACAATACGAAATGTAACTGCACTTACTTCATCATTTTGCCAGATGCGGTTTTTTTGTTAACACTTTTTACTACCAGGAATAAAAATTTACTGGTATTATTTTTTCATGCTTTATTTTCTTTCATGGCAGATAACCGAGTCAAATATATTTGTTAAATCACGTAGCCTATCTAATGTTATGTGCCTATCTAGTGGATGTTACAATTTATATAAGAAACTTCTTTGATAGTATCAAACTCATGACCTTCTTTGATAGTATCAAACTCTTAACAGACTTGGAGCGAATTATCATTGTGCCTAAAGTTACAACAGAGTCTTGAAAAGGTTTAAAACAACTTTTATATTAAACAGAACTTGAACATAAACGCACTTCTTGTGCTTGACAATATCAACCATCACTTGTGACAATGAAACTTAAAATAAGCCACATTCAAATTTAAAACTGAGCCTAGTAACCTTAGGCTATGCAAATGATTTTAAATTCTTAGTTGACTCAGAACTTTTCTCTGGAGTAAAAATCAAATGTCGGCAGCAATAACACAAAGCCGACGAATTACAATCTTATCAGAGCTGGCGAAACCTAGTAACGTGGCCTCGAGAGGCAGAAACACGCTCTGTCTTATAATCCGAAATCGTGGGTTCAAATACTCTCTGGCTCATTTACATTTCTGGTGAGAAAACGAAAAAGAGAAGCTATAGTAAAGTTCTGAATCATAATATCTGGTTAATTAAAAAATAATAACTCTACAACTTTAAGATTATAGCTAGCAAAACGTTACTTACTTTTAGTTATTCAAAATTTGTTTGCTTATTTTAGTTATTTAAGTAAAGACACTGAATTTTCTCATATGAAATAACAAAAATTTCATATGTAAGACATCTTTTATCCTACTAATAATAAATAACATTTTTGGTAGCCAACTGAATAATAACGAAGATGTTACATTTAAAATTTCATTCTTTCTACTTAACATGTAACATGAAAATGTAGATGGTCAGATCAAAAGTTTTTTCAAAATGGCTGAACGACTATTTTTTTCCAAAATGGTTGTGTCTGGAACGGTTTTTTAAAATAGTTATATAATTAACGCAAAATTATGGATAATGATAAACATTTACTAGGAATGGTTGGAAAGTGAGAAATGAATGTAATAAATTGGTCACCCCACGGACATTAGTCGGCTCGAAATCAATAGTTTAAATTAAAAACAAGTAAATAATTGCCAGGAAACATTGTGCCAGACCTTGATGAAAGAATTGCTTTAAATTCTAGAGGTTTTAATTTATTTTTATAATAGTTATTTTTATTTGAAGACAGCCTTTCCTATACCTTCTATCTACGTTTTCCTGCCAGAACGAGTTTTCAGTTTCACGCTTTATGTAAAATAGGGGAGAAACTGCTATTTAAGCTTAGGTATGAAGTAATTAATTCAATTAGAGAGAAAGAGGGATAGAGCGTGTTCTGACTTTCGGCCACGTTGTTGCTAGTTTTGCTAGTTTACGACCGTCCCTATTACGTGCCTGGTAGTCTACGCCAGTGATTTTTTAGTTAACAGCCAACTATGCGGTAGCAAATCTATGCAGCTTACGCTGTGTAGTCTATTTAACTTTAGTTTAATTTTATATTAAGTTCAAGCCAAAAGGTTGGCTTCTTGCGCGCCCATGAAGGGCCATCTGTGAATCCATATGAGTTCAAATAAAAGGGTATTTTAACCTTTTTTTTTTTGTTATTTGCACAACAAAAACTTTGCGAACAGTCGCCACTCGAAGCAGTCCATCAGAACGTACTAAGTACATATTTGTTATGGCGAATATTGTTTATAACAACGTTTTTCTGTGGGACGCAAGGAATCGTTACAACGAGCATCGACTGCAGTAACAGACATAATTAATTTAAATACTTTCCTTCAAATATTCATTATAAAGAAATTACATAGCAATTGAAAGTTGGAACTGTTTGTTTCTTCAAAAGTAAGAATCTGCCTTTGATGCAGCCGAATTGTACCAAAGATGAATTTTAAACATCATGGCAATATGTACTACCAAAAAGGGGAAGATAAAAGCCATTACATTAACATGCTTGACAAAGAGTAATTACGAAATTCGATATCGTTTGTCCGAACGTTACCTTGATATCGAAATTTTTTTAAAAATAACATTAAAAGCTTGGAAAACATATAAATTACGCATAGGTAACGTGTACATTAATTCTTAAACACCTCCATATAATATAACACTTTCCTGGGAATTTGGGTGCAGGGAATTCTGGCAGATGGGGGACAGAGGGGCGTTTTTTAAAGTTTGTGTGTTACCTTATTTATCAATTATCATGTTCTACGTACTCAAATCATAAAGTTCAGTTCAACACAATATCGCAAATTAATTTTAAAATGAGTATATTCTAGAATTTCCGATACAGAATCTCGCGCGCTGGAGATAAAAATATTTTTTTTTTCGTACAATGTTGCCATTGCTCACTTTGAAATCGTTTAGTTCTTTAATCAAAATTCTATGAAGTTTAAAAATCTGGAATCTATAATAAAACAATTTCAAATTCAAATTAGCTTCCAATGCCCTATTCTATGGAAGATTACACTATTCAAATTTGATGCCAGGTACCGTTGTTTTATCACAATGCGAGAAACATACTACATTTATGCAGATTTTTCATTATTTAATTTCTTTAAGACAGAGTGATAATATATGGTGGCAACGATTTGAAATGTGATACAGCCTCTTAAAGTTTTCGAAGCAAAATGCGAAAACAAAATCCATAGTCCTTCAGGGAAAATTGCCCCTTTGGACTAATAACTCATCATACATATAAACGATTAAATGCTGACAAAGAATGATAATTTATTTTATTCAGAGTTATTGAACGAAACGTTTTACCTATAGAAAAATTAAGACTTCCATTTTCTGGTAAAAGGGTGAATAAATCTAATGAGCATTTAGCTTACCACATGCATAATATGAATGATAGTCATAACAAATAAACAATTCTTACCGTCGTGTTGGACATGAAGTGCCTCCTAAAATGATGATCCGATCTGAAAGTAGGCCTGCCAGGAAAGCAAGTCGGGGCTCCAGCAGTATTTGTTATAGGATGCTTATTATTTAGATTTGCCATCTTTGATGAAGGAAAATAATAGAGGCTGGGAAGAAGTACTCCTCTCAGTGAAAGAGTGAGAGAGATTGGCCCCGAGTGTGTCGTAGGGTGTCTTCAGGGTTGCGATTCGGAAATGAGAGAGATCTCATCCCGACTCACCTGTTCTTTAGAACCCTCCGAGGGTGGGATGTTGGGGGAAGACGTTGTTTAGATCGAGATGAGAGTTACTTTTTGTGACGTCACACAATAGAACTGAGCGCATGATCTCGGGTCCGAGGTGAAAGGATTTTCAATTTTTTATCTCTCATCGCCCATTTGGCGAGAACCAATGATACAGAAATTTTACTTTGCAATAAATATATTGAAAAGTTTAAACATTAGGGAATTGTGGTTAAAAATTTGGCTTTATGTCTCACAACCAACCTCATAAGGTTATATTGTGCTAAATTATTGAGATAAAATGCAGCTCATTGTAGAGTACAATTTTAATGCAAACAAATATTGCAATAATTAAAGAAAATTGAATAGATAAGAAATAAGTTTCCAAAGTTACGCTGATGTTGCTCAATGATTTTAAGGAAGAAATGAACTGTATTTTAAAATACTTAGAAGTACAAAATTAATTCATAAAAAGTGAATAGTTTTCTTTTAAACAATACTTATGTCTGGTTAAAAACATTTTAAGAAGTACGAAAGTGACAGTTGGTAAAATTTAAATCAGTTACAATGAAATGCATTAAAAGTCCCGAACGTTGATATTTTGATAGTGAATTGTTTTCTGAAATTAAATATACTAAACTTTATTTATGTAATTAAATTTTCTTACATTAATTCCTCCGAAAGAGAAAGTTGATTTCCTTTTATGAACATTTCAATGCTTCTTGAAATCACGACGACATTAAAAGCAAATCAAAGTTTTGATCAAAGTTTTGATAAAGATGACGTACTTTCATGTATTTGTGAATGCGTGCAGCTAGTTATTAGGAAAAATATTGATCGCAGTTTTTTAAAAAATATGAAATTAAAAAATAATTTGGTCATAAATCTAAGATATTATAAAATTATCTGAAATAAATGCTTAGTTATTTCAGACAAAAGTTCTCTTACTTCTAAGATTTAATATTCTTCCTGAAGCTTAAAAATTACAGTATAAAATTACGCACATAATTTATTTCATTTTGAAATAATTGCCATTCATTCGTAAAATCATAAAGTCACTTAAAAATCAACACAAGTTATTGAATTATTGAGAGCATAATTAAAAAAATTAAATTGATATGAATGTCTATTAGAAGCTAAGAGATATGACTTGATATTAATATTCATATTTTATTTATTTAATAAAATTTAAAATCCTTGTACAAGGGAGCCTGAAATGGAGGTTCATCTTTGTTTACGGGCCCTAAATAGAAATTTTTGATGCATTTAATTTCTTTGACTATTCAAACAATAACAGTTTGTTTCTGTTTCAGCTCCGTTTGTTTCTGTAATCATACTTGCATTTTAAATATTACTAACACATTAATTTTATAATTTGAATTTCTTAAAACATGTTAAAAATTCTTCGAGTTTTTTAATAAAGGAGGTCTGCGATAGCTAGGAGAATTTCGTTGTTAAATATTTCAGATATGGCTTAACTAAACTAACTTTAGCTAATCACATAATAAATAATAAATATGTTCCCAAAATGGTATTAAATATTTGGAGCATCTTATTTCCATTAATATTACGTAAAGATTTTGATCGATTTTATTATGATTTTATTGTATTATTTCTGAGATAATGGAAATTAATAGTCTTTAATATTAATTCAGAGAAAAGAAACATTTTGCTATCTTCATTATAACAATTCCTGCAGAGTATCTGGAACACATTACAATAGACTGAAACATCCCAAACCCGAAGAAACACTTTGCTTTATTACTTTAACTTAAGTAGTTTCGAGTGTAAAATCATTTTATGAGTTTTCGTTTAATAAAATTAATTATTTAATTAAATTACGTGTTATAAATTAATTATTTTCGAAGAAAATTGTACATTTTTAGATTTATTGTTTCGATTTTAGAATTTATGGCAAGTGCAATTTGCTACCCGGATTTTGTTCCAATAAACCGAACACAAAAGTTAATAAGTATTAGAATTATTCCAAACTGTATTTATTTCATATCTAATGAAGAGAGCTTCAGATGTAAACTGATTTACCGTATTTGTAGAGTCATTATACTGTTTTGATGCTGGAGACGCGAAAAATGTGCAGCACCCTCTATAGGACTCGAACCCTGGACCTCTAGCACACAGATGCTTCCAATTGCACCATGAAGGCGTTCGGAAAGGAGAGAGAAAATACCTTATACACTGTTCTGTTCAAGATACCGTTAGATCTGTTTACTCCAGGTGAAAGAAAAGCTGTGCTTCCAAAATGTGTGGGTAAAGAAAGATCAAAACTTGCTGAAATTGTTCTTATCTTTATATTTTTATATCGAGCATGTTGGAAATTGGCTTCATTTCCACGGCAGATGAAAATTGCCGAAATAGTTTTATTTGGTAAAAAAGATAAAGATCCTGCTATTTTGTCTTCTTATAGACCAGTGAGTCTTCTTTCTTCTTTAAATAAACTCTTTGAAAAATTAATACTGAACAGACTAAATTATTTTCTAACTGAAAATAAAGTGATCAGCGACTTTCAATTTGGATTTAAAAAGGGGGTTTCAACTGAAATGGCTGTTTTTAATCTGCTAAACACAGTAAAACGCAACAGGGATGGTAACAGGCACACGTTAATCATCTCCATTGATATACGTGGTGCATTTGACACGGTCTGGTGGCCTGACATAATTGATGCATTGGATAGCGCAAACTGCCCTGTAGAAATTTTGAATTTAATTCGAAATTATTTGGAACAACGCAAAATTCAATTAACCCTGGATAATGAAATTTTAATAAAAGATTTGCAAAGAGGCTGTCCACAGGGTTCCTGTTTAGGACCAACCCTGTGGAACTTAGTCGCTAATACGGCCTTTGGTATGTTTGAAAATACTGAACAAGTAACTTTGCAAGCTTATGCCGATGATTTTCTGTTAATTATCTCAGGCGTAAAGGACATTGAAGTAAGAGCTCAACAAGCGATTAATAAGTTTGTAGAGTGGGCAGACATGCATAAATTAAGAATTTCCGAAGAAAAAACTACTATGTTGTTTATCGGTAGGAAAAGAAAAATGCGTCGAAATCCGTCTATAAAAATCCATGGAAGGCCCATAAAATGTGCAAACACCTTGAAATATTTAGGCTTTGTTATCAGCAATACGCTGTCTTGGTTTCCACATGTGAAACATCTTAAACAGAGATGTGCCGTTCTTACGAATGGCATGACAAAGACTATGGGCCTTAATTGGGGTACTTCCCCAAAAATCTTGCGGCTGTGGTATAAAACAATCACTGAAAGAGTTCTTTTGTACGGAGTCTCCATTTGGGGTTTTGATATGAACAAAACTATGAGTGGCTTACTGAATTCAATACAGAGGCATCAGCTATTACTTATTTCCAAAGGTTATAGAACAACCTCGACAGCCTCACTGCAGATTTTGGCGGGTATACCTCCATTAGATCTGCAGGCTCAAAGAGACTCTTTCTTAGGACGGATCCTACGATTACGATTGAATGGGGATTTATGGAACCAACATCACCTAGTAAATGATTATGAACTACGGGTTCCATCTAATCTTGGCCATCCTGCCTCTTTAAAACTCAAATCTGCAGTCAATTTATACTATACGGCTCCAGTAGCCAATGACATTGCTCTATTTACAGATGGTTCTAAAACTGAACGTGGAACAGGTTGTGCATTTTGTGTATTTAACAATACTCAAAAGGTATATACATGGACTCGAAGGCTTGATGACAGAAATACTGTTTTTCAGGCAGAACTTTTAGCGATAAACGCTGCTCTCACTTATGTTAAAAGAAATCTATCGGGCAAGACTAAGATCTTCAGTGATTCATTATCTAGTCTGCAGGCTATCTTCAGACATTACGAATAGAAATCCGATTGTACAAGTTATTCAAGAGAAATTGCTAAGATTTAATTCATCTGAAAGACCACTTCTTACCTGGGTGCCAGCTCATGTTGGCATACTGGGCAACGAAGAAGCAGATACTTTAGCTAAATGGGCTGCTAATGATATCAACGGAATTGAAAATCCAACGAAATTGCCTTTTTCACACTTGAAGAGCGAGACTTTAAATACACTGCTTGTGAAATGGCAGGAAAGATGGACTAATGACTCCACAGGAAGACGAGTCTTCTCTTTCTTTCCAAAAGTTTCACTCAGTCAAAGAAGCACATCGAATTTTTATACTCAATTTTTCACTGGTCATGGACCTTTTAATACATATCTCTTTCGATTTGGACTACGTACGACTGAGCTTTGTTCTTGCGGGGAGTTGGGAGACCCTGAACACTTTATCTTTCACTGTCCATTTACTAAAAAACTTCACTTGAATAAACCTTTAGATCAACACAGGCCAAAATGGGCTGAATTGATATTAAAAAACTCTAGTGAGAGTAAGAAATTTAAGGAAATTATGCTTTTCTGTCAGGAATTAAATTTTTCTGTAAATAATTCTCTCAGATCATCTCTATTGGGAGTGAGTAATTGACTTTCAGCGACTGTTAGATTTTTACTGCATAATGGTAATTGTTTAACTTTTTGTGTTTGATGCTTATTATTGTTCAGTTTTGTTGTTTCCACTACTTATGTTACTGATTTAAAATTAGAAATGGTTTTACGTAGAACAGACGTATCGGTGAGCCTACTGCGGTACCGAAGGACCAGTTTTCGTGTCCCGAAGAAAGCGTGGATGTTTGTAAATGTAATAACGTTCGTGCGGCATGGAGGCTTTTCTAATTATTCCGACAGCCGGAAGTCCTCTCGAGAAGCTGATGGTAGGGAAAGTGGGGTGGGAGATCCTAGGAACCGTTCCCTCGGGGTGCTCTCCATCAAAATTGGGCGTGGAACGGAGCG